ATGTGTCTGCAACATGCTTTATGTGTGTCTGCAACATGCTTTATGTGTGTCTGCGAAACATGCTTTATGTGTGTCTGCGCAACATGCTTTATGTGTGTCTGCGCAACATGCTTTATGTGTGTCTGCGCAAAATGCCCATGTTTTATGTGTGTCTGCAACATGCTTTATGTGTCTGCAACATGCTTTATGTGTGTCTACGAAATGCTTTATGTGTGTCTGCGACATGCTCATGTTTTATGTGTGTCTGCAACATGCTTTATGTGTGTCTGCGAAATGCTTTATGTGTGTCTGCGACATGCTTTATGTGTGTCTGCGACATGCTTTATGTGTGTCTGCGACATGCTCATGTTTTATGTGTGTCTGCAACATGCTTTATGTGTGTCTGCGACATGCTCATGTTTTATGTGTGTCTGCAACATGCTTTATGTGTCTGCAACATGCTTTATGTGTCTGCAACATGCTTTATGTGTGTCTGCGAAACATGGTTTATGTGTCAGCAACATGCTTTATGTGTCTGCAACATGCTTTATGTGTGTCTGCGAAACATGCTTTATGTGTCTGCAACATGCTTTATGTGTGTCTGCGAAACATGGTTTATGTGTCTGCAACATGCTTTATGTGTGTCTGCGAAACATGCTTTATGTGTGTCTGCAACATGCTTTATGTGTGTCTGCGCAACATGCTTTATGTGTGTCTGCAGCATGCTTTATGTGTGTCTGCGCAACATGCTTTATGTGTGTCTGCAACATGCTTTATGTGTGTCTGCGACATGCTTTATGTGTGTCTGCGACATGCTTTATGTGTGTCTGCGACATGCTTTATGTGTGTCTGCAACATGCTTTATGTGTTTCTGCAACATGCTTTATGTGTGTCTGCAACATGCTTTATGTGTGTCTGCGACATGCTTTATGTGTGTCTGCGACATGCTCATGTTTTATGTGTCTGCAACATGCTTTATGTGTCTGCAACATGCTTTATGTGTGTCTGCGAAACATGGTTTATGTGTCTGCAACATGCTTTATTTGTCTGCAACATGCTTTATGTGTGTCTGCGAAACATGGTTTATGTGTCTGCAACATGCTTTATGTGTCTGCAACATGCTTTATGTGTCTGTAACATGCTTTATGTGTGTCTGCGAAACATGGTTTATGTGTCTGCAACATGCTTTATGTGTGTCTGCAACATGCTTTATGTGTGTCTGCGAAACATGGTTTATGTGTGTCTGCGCAACATGCTTTATGTGTGTCTGCGCAGCATGCTTTATGTGTGTCTGCGACATGCTTTATGTGTGTCTGTGCAACATGCTTTATGTGTGTCTGCGACATGCTTTATGTGTGTCTGCGCAACATGCTTTATGTGTGTTAGCGACATGCTTTATGTGTGTCTGCGACCTGAACTCAATGGGAAAGGAACCGTTGCGTATATTAGCTACGACATGAATCAAGATGCTATGGCCGAAAAAATTTGATTGACAGGTAACCGTTGATATATAATTGGCTGAATTTAGGTGTTCAGGCTGACGTAGAACTAACTGGCCTGCAGAAAATAACGGGAAAAAAAAACAGATTTTAAGACAGGAAATTTTTTTTAAATAGAAATTTTCTAACTTTTGGGACAATATGGTCTGATAAAGAAAACATTTATATACGTGTTTAAGCCAGAATGATTTGGAATATGACTTCCCTACGACTTTAAGTGTTATTTAAAGAGTTTGTCTTAAATTATCTCTTTTCAGGAAAAAGAACAGGAGAGAGAAAGCTTCAAGCTGTAGACACACAGAGAGCCCATCTTTAACATGTTATTGTAAGTAAAACATATGTAACAGAGAGTAAAACTTCCCTTTATTTAAAGGTTCCCTTTATAATATATTCAGCTGCATATTATTTGTAAATGATTATATTCTTTCTATATTTACACAATCCCTGAACCTGAGGTGTACAGATGGGATCATGCTGAGAAGCAGCTCTGTGGTGGTGTTGTGCTGTGCTGTTTGGGGTGGTGTGAACGTCTCGTTTAAACCTCCAGGTTTTGACCTCAGGTTCGTTGCGTTCTGGACACGCTGGCTGAGTTTCGACTGGTGTTTATTTTCTAGACTGGAATGAGAAATAGATTGAATCCCTGAACTGAAGGCAAACAGGGCATTGACACCGACAGACTTAAACAAACAAAGGCCTCGCTTCGCTCCAATCAATGAGCAGTTGAAGCTCGCCAAGCAGGTCATGGATGCAACTTAAACACAAATGCTTTAGAAAAAAAAAACAGTTTAAAAGCTGTTCTTAAGATACATTGTAATTAGTCAAAACTGACAATAGACTTTAGAAGAATTGAGAACAGCTTCATTTCTTGAGCCAGCCTAAGACTGTAAGACAACAGAAATACTTTTATTTGAACTAAAGCCTGCAAACCGGCAGTTTCACAACTACCTAATCTATTTTTAATGGACAACTTGATCTATGGGAGGGATGAACTAGGCTGATTCCCAGTACAGTGAGTCCCACCCAGACATAAACCAACAGACAGATCAGTGGACTATGATCACGTTACTCTGGGAAAGATAAACTCAACCTGAAAACGCTTCACAGAGACCTGCAGGCGTACCTTTGTCACACATCTGCACAAGCAACTTAGTACGAGTGGAAGTCTAAGAATAAAAGAAAATATATGTTTTTACACCAAAAAAGATCAGTATCAATGAACTGATGCATTTGGAATTTTGTTTTAGTTTTAACCTCTTTAGTGTATAAACTTGTTTATTTCATGAGATTAAATGTTCAAAATGGTAATAAATTTCCAATAAAGGAAATATTTTTAATGTGAATTTGTCCAATTTTGAAACAATGATGCAGAACAGGGACTGAAATCAGGACAGCAGAGAAAGCTTCACCTTGTTACCATAAAGACCTGCTTGTATCCGCTAACATCAACTCAAAAATGTCAGGATTTTATCCTTTAAAAAAAAGAAAACTAACATTGAGACTTTTAAACTACCCTTTGGTCTGCTGTGTCTCCCCCCAGTGTTCAAAAGAAGAACTCCATACAACTTAAAAAAAAAAAGTATAGAAACAAAAAACATGAAAAACTAAAGTTGTGATTAAAGAAGAAAAATTGGCTGAAGGATTTTTCCTCAAAAAAGCTGCGAAAAGCAAAACGAAACATACAAGCGAACAAAAGAAAGCTTCCAGATACATTCAAAAGGAAACTAAGGAAAAAAAATACTCTGCCATTATTAAAGGCATTTCATGTAAATATGAGAACTGTTGTAAAGAAAAAGAGCTGTGGATTTAAAGAGATATACAGGCTATGAAACCAGCAAGTTTAGAAAAATGTTGCAAAAGCATGAATGTAGGAGAACATTTCCAGTGCAGGGAAAATTTGAAAAACTACAAATAGCCAAACCTTCTGCAGGAAAAGGAATATCATTAATGGATGCCATCTGTCACCAGTTATCAGCTTTTGGAGGCTTTTACCATTTATTCCACATAGGGCCATGTTGGTTTGGACAATTAGGTACAACAGTTTTTCCCTCAGTTGTATTTTCTAATGATATGTTTGTCTGATAATAAGTTATATTGATCTGGAACGCTTAAACAAAGAAATCTGTAAAGATGCAATATTTTCCCCACAACAGTTTAACCTCTTGAAGCTCTGCAAGACTTTAAAGTCGAAGGGGAATCGCATTTAAATGTCAAATCGTTCTGGTCTAAACATGTATATAAATTTACTCTTTATTTATTAAAATTTCTATTTTCAAAAAAAATCCTGTCTTAAAATCTGTGTTTTTTCCGTTATCTTCTGCAGGCCAGTTAGCTCTACGTCAGCCTGAACACCTAAATTCAGCCAATCATATATCAACGGTCATCTGTCAATCAAATTTTTTTTTCGGTCGTAGCATCTTGATTGATATGTCGCAGCTAATATACGCAAAGGTTAAAATCAGAATCTTAGCAAAGTATTGGTGACCGTCACAGGTGTATAGTTGGAGAGCGAATTTTTGGCCATTTCTTAATTTAGAAGAACGCGAGTCCAAATTCATGAGTTGTTTTCCGCAATTTCGGTCATAAAAACAAAACAAGCCTCCCTTCTGTCTGCGGTCAGCTACAATTAGGGAGAGGTGCAGCAGAGTGTCTGCGGAGGGGGCGGGGACGTCTTTGAGTTCACCGCGACACCTACGCAGAGGACGTGGTTTCAAAGTATAAATCAGCCTTTAGCCCCGGCCGCTGCAGACGGGCTAACGCTAACCCTGGCTGCCGCTACCCTCAGAGCTCCGCTGGTTGCCACACTCCTCTCAACTTCAGAACGTCTTTTAAATTAAGCATTAAATCGGTAAATGGGCCATATAGTGAAGCATAAAGTATAATGTTCTCGCCTCACATGATCTTAAAACGTAGTTTTATAGAACAGCAACAGAAAAGTGGTATTTATCTTCCAGCGGTCACTGGGGGAGATGTGGAGTTAATCCTGGATGAGTCTTCAGTCCAATAAATAAAAAAAACAAGAACAAAAATCCTCATAAAGGGATATCTAGAGTTATCTTTTAACTTAAGCCCTTTTTGTAAACAGTGGCAGGAAGCTGGAGTACCCAGAGAGAACCCATGAATGTTCTTTATGTGTCTTTATGAGTGAAGGGCAACCGACTGGACCACAATTCAAAAAATACATAAATCAATTAATGCTGATATTTTCTTATGAGTGAAAAAAATAATAAAAAACTCATTAATTCAGATAAATAAATTAACTAACATAAAGAATAAGATAATGGTCTTTTACAATAAAATAAGGGAAGCTCCTCAACTTGAAGAAGGAACAATATATTAGTAAGAATGGTTGTTTTTTACATTTAAATAATTCAATAAAATTATGAGTTTATACATTAGAGTAAAGGAAATTTAGACATAAAGAGGCGGTGGATTAAAAAATATCAAAGATTTATTCAAATATTATTCTGACACGTTTTACAGTCTGTTATTCACAAGTCTGATGGATTTTAGCTGTTTTTTTTATTAATTCTCTCTTTCTCCTTCCTGCTTCCTGTTCTCCTCCGTCTCTTCTTCCTGCTTCCTGTTCTCCTCCGTCATTCCTTCCTGCTTCCTTTTCTCCTCCGTCTCTCCTCCCTGCTTCCTGTTCTCCTCCGTCTCTCCTTCCTGCTTCCTTTTCTCCTCCGTCTCTCCTTCCTGCTTCCTGTTCTCCTCCGTCCCTCCTTCCTGCTTCCTTTTCTCCTCCGTCCCTCCTTCCTGCTTCCTTTTCTCCTCCGTCTCTCCTTCCTGCTTCCTGTTCTCCTCCGTCCCTCCTTCCTGCTTCCTTTTCTCCTCCGTCCCTCCTTCCTGCTTCCTTTTCTCCTCCGTCTCTCCTTCCTTCTTCCTGTTCTCCTCCGTCTGTCCTTCCTGCTTCCTTTTTTCCTCTTCTTGTCGCTCACGGCCAAACTCAACCACCAAAGGTTTCCCCAGCAGCCGGTATCCATGGACCAACTGCAGGGCCTTCTGAGCTGCTTCACAGTCTGCCACAGAAACAAAAAAAAAATCTGAAAAGAATCCAAACAGATTTATTCCTCAATAAAAAGATGGAAAATGCTGCATTGGTCAAATGGTCAGAAGGAAAGATTGGAGGAAAACAGGCTGCAACAACAATAAGTTAATGATTCATATATCTGACATCATCCATCCATCCCTGCTCCCCTCAGGGCATCGCTGCTTCTGAGGGGAGCAGCTTTAACTGTTGCTCCGTAATGCATCCATTACGCTGCCGTTCGTTATGCATAAGTTGGGCTGTCATTGGTCAGAAGTTCTGGACTCGTTATGAAAACTCTATTTATACGCCCAAAATTGAAGAAATGCCTAGAAAGTTCAGCGTATGCCGGCGGTGTAACAGGGCCTCAGTCTAAAACTTCTAGTCTGACCATGTTTAAAGGTTCTGTTATAAAGCGATTCTTTTACTTGTGAACTTTGACCTTCAGCGTTGTGGTCAGTGAACCCATCCATGGAAAATGAAAGTGTTCCTCACCTGGCAGCGTGATGAAGGCCTGACCTTTCATCCTTCCCGTCAGCAGCCGGTAAACAACCGGAGGGCCGTCCTTCTGCTCAAATCTGGAGAACAGCGCCACCAGCTGGGCGATGGACGCCTGGGCACTCAGGTTCTTCACACACAGAACCTGCAATGGGAGGTTTTAATTCTATAAAACATGATCCCTGTCCAATCAGGGATGAGGGTTCTCCTTCAGGGAGTTTCCCTCCAGAACAAACTGTAAAATACCTTCGAAGCGTTTCCTGGCTGGTAGCTCTTGAACCTCGGGATGCTTCGGATCCCCTCCTCAGATTCACGGTTGTTCAGAATTTCCTCATCCGTCAGCGTCTCGATCTCCCCGCAGGCAGTCAGCGGTTTTCCTGAGCGGGCCGCTGATGCTCCAGCCAGGCTGCCGATTGGTCGGTTCACATCTATGCGTACGGGAGGATCCGGTTGGTCTGTCTCTACTCTGTCCTGAGGTTTCTGCAGCTGCTCTGAGGCATCCTCGCTCTGAGGATCTGGCTCACAGCCAGAGGGCTCGTTTGATTGGCTGGTGCTGCTCTCAAAGCGTTCTGATTGGTCCCATGTCGCTCCAGATGTGGATGAAGCTGATGATTCCAGGTTCTGATGACCGGAAGAGTCCTCTGGTGATATTTGTGTCTGACACCTCAAAACATCTCTGTAAATAGAGTCCATTGGGTCAGAGGATGACGCCCCCTGCTGGTTCTCGTCTGCATTGCCATCTGGATTCAAAACAAAGCAAATCTAATGTTACTCAACTAAACCTTTTCCCTCTTATACTGTTATTGATATATAACCGGAAAAACTGTTTGCGCCATGTGAAATGTTTTGAATTTCATTACTACAACCACCAGTGGGGGGGGGGGGGGGGGGGGGGGGGGGAATACAAGATCTCCATCCCCCGTTAGTCTGATGTCCCTAAAGAAAATCCTGTGCAACAAACTTCCAAAAGAAATCCTTTAATCTATGATTACATCTAAAGCAGAACATCTTCCACATTTACACAAAACATACATGCAGCAAGCTAATGGCAGAATTAAACTCTTTGGCCTTTTTTTGTGATAGAACAAAGTAGTGGCAACATTATGATGTGGTGCTGTTTTGTATTAGCAGCCACAGGTTAAGGGGATGGTTATCGTCCCGCAGCAGCGTGTCGCAGATAGTTTTCGATTTATGCTCAATATTGAAGCGTGGTCTGTGCTATGTTACTATAGCCTCGTGAGACCATCCCGATCTCGCGAGCTTTCAAGGTTTCACTCGCAGATCAGTCTGGAGACTCTCCATTAAAGAAAATTTGGAGCCGTTCACCAAATGAACGTCCAATCAGCGTTGGCTTTGAGGCGGGTTGAGGTGTGACGCAACGAGAAGCGCGACAGTTCAGTCTAAAGAACATGGCGGCTTCAGCCGATGAAACTAGCGTTAGCGTGGCTATCGAGCAAGTTTTATGGGAATTACAGAGTATTTCTTCACTGAAAGAAGAGCAAAACACTGCTCTGGAGGCTTTTCTCAGAGGAAAAGATGTTTTTGCTCTTCTCCCGACTGGTTTCAGCAAGAGTTTGATCTATCAATTGGCTCCTCTTCGTCGCCGCTCTGTTAGTACGTCATATGCTTCGTTGATCTGATTGGTTTATTTGGCCCGTCTATCACCAACATAGGCCAGTCAGCTAACCAGTATTTTCGGCCCTTCCCAAAATTACTTCAACGGAAGGTTCCCAGATGGATATGCGGAGCAAATCCATCTGGCGGAGTCAGGTTACCGTTAGTCCAAGCTAGAGGGCCAATCAGGAACTAGCTAGGATTGTGGGTGTCCGTGCGTCGGTTTGACGAGCTTGTTCGCCGTCTACAGCCCGTCATTCAACGCCGGACCACACACGGTTCACCCGTGAGTTTTCCCCAAAGACTGGCCGTGGCGCTGCGTGTTTGGTGCAAACCAGCAGACCGTCGCTCAGAGCTACAAACTAGCGTCCTGCACGGTGTCTGGGATAGAGTCTGAGGTGAGCCAGGTGCTGTGGATGGAGCTACAGCCAGAGTTTCTGCCATTAGGAACCAAACAGGAAATACACATAGTGTAGAGCAGATGGAGAACTGACCAATCAGAGGCCTCCTGTCTGAGGTCATCTACAATATTGCATCAGGTGCTGGCTTCTGAGCATAAATCTGCCTTTAAGAGTTAATTAGAAATTGGATTGAGTTAAAAACAAAAAAGGAGGAGGGGGGGCGCATGGTAAAAAAAAAGCAAGACAGGAGACTAGAGTTAGGGATCCGCCTACCTTCACCATGGAAACAATAAACATAAAGTCAGACTTTCAGCATCTGTGAGGCTGAAAACAACCACACCACTGTTTTAATTTTTTTTAAAACCATATTTAAAAAATGTCTCCACTGAGAGACAATTAAGGATAAATAAAATAAAAAAATATTTACACATATTCTTGTCTTCTCCTTCCTTGTTAGAGTGATAAACACTCAGGTTGTGATTGTAATGGGAAAAGGCTCAAAGGCTGTGAATACTTTAAGAGTCTGATTTGATTATACCGTCTAACTTTCAACATTTTCTTGAATTAACTGTCTGAGACATTTAGAGAGCATTTTTCCAGGACAATAAGTTTTAAAATAACCAAAAAAGCTAAAGAATGGAGAAATTGTCAGGCAAACAAAGATCCGCTGGCAGCTGTAAGTTAGACAAAGAAAAGCTCAACATGTGAATTATGGAAATGAACCGAAGATGTGAAACTGCTCTGATTTAATGTCAGGAAATGAGAAATTATAATAGCAGCTTTTCAATATAATAATTCTGAGCAGGAAATCAAGGATTCATTGTTATTGTTGAAGCTCCTCCTGGGCTGAAAGTCTCAGTTAAAAGCTCCTGACAGTTTGAACCCTTCCTTCTCTGAACGCCAGGTTGACATTAGAGGAACGATACCTCGATGGTAAAGGGCTGTGAGAAATCCCAGCCGCTCGTTCCCGTGGAACAGCGCTTGTTCGATCTCCATCTCCCGGCGTGAGAGCGGCCTGCTGGCGGAGAAGCGCTGCGGTCGGGACAGGAGCTCTGCTCTGGCTGCCATCTTGTCCCGGATGGTTTGCAGACGCTGCTGCTTTGCATCCGGAGCTGCGCCCACGCCGCTGGGCTACGGCGAGAGATACGGCGAGATTCAGCAGGTTCAGTCTATGAACGCTATATAACCTAAACCTGCTGAGGGTTGTACCTTGTCTCCTGAGTCCGGTGCATTTCTGCTCTGCCACAGCTGGATCTCAGCGTCAGTGAGGCCCAGTTCCCTCAGACTGACCAGCTCCTTCTCCCCATCCTGCAGAGCCTGGAACTGGGAGAGGCTTCTCACCCCCGCCGCCTGATCCCCAAACGGCCGATAAAGCGCAGCTGGAGCAAAGCACTGCTTCTTAGCAACACATCTGGAAGACAGAGGGATCTTTAAAGGAAAAGACTGGTCACATTCAGAAACCAAACTCCTGAAAGTTCTTTAAATGTGAAATGATTCCATCCTGTTCAATAAATGATCAGTGTTTTTAATTCAGAGTAATTTTCATGTGAATGTGCTTTACTGGAGGCATCCATGTTTGTCAAAGAACACTACTGCCACCTACTGGTTAGTGACGTCACGGTGCGGTATCAGCTGTTGATCAAGTCCCAGTGCTGTATCTGGTGTTTGTCACAACGCGCTATTATCCAAGTCATCTTGAAAACATTCTTCTTCCAAATGTTGGCTACATATTACGGGTTTTTTCTCTGGCCAGAAGTTCGATGGCAAATCCTCCCTCTTCAAGTTGGCGATCCAACGACCAACCCGTCCGTGGAGGATCAGGAATCAGAAAGGTGGAATAACTCTTTTTTTTACTTTTACCCGATGTATTCCAGCATCCAGCTGCCATGCACGTGGGCATTGTCAGTTTCACTATAGCTCTGGTGAATTTCAATGGTGAAGTCCTCTGGAAATCTTCAATAATTGTTGTTGATTGCAGATGTGTCTAGTAGTTCCCATTGATTTAGCTTGTAAAGCGGGGAGAATGGCGCTAGGCTTACCGCACCGTGACGTCACTGCTGGAAGATGGCAGGAGGGAGGGGCTACTATATTTGGGCAAAAATGGCCGCTCCAAGACTCTGTGATCGTGATGAAAATTATGATTTTTATTTTAATTATTTACTTATTAACGCTAAATCCATTAAATCACTGCAAACGTATTCGTTTTAGGTTTAAATAAAGATCCATCGATCAGTCCTTGCTGATCAGACTTTTCTTTTAACAGTAGATATAAAGCTGTATGAACCTAAAGCTTTTGGGGCTTTGGGTAATTTAATTCACCAAGCTGCTCTTTTGGACACTTGAGTTAGCAAAGCCGAGCATTTGATGGGTGCTTTTATACAAACATGACTCTAAATTCACTCGTTCACACAAGATGTATTGAAAGGAAGGTTGAATGTTAAATTCTAACTCCAAATGGTGCACAAAAATTTTTTTTTCTCAAAATATTGTAAAATCATGTCAATAAGAATAATTAATCCATCCCAAAGACAACTCCAGATAAAAAACTTTGAAGTTTTTTTTTTATCATCCTCATAAAGGAAAAAGTTAAAACAATTAAATGCGGTCTGTTTAACATAAGATCGCTTTCCTCTAAAAGTCTACTAGTTAATGACTTGATTTGTGATAATCACATTGACTTGTTTTGCCTTACAGAAACCTGGCTGCAGCAAGAGGATTATGTGAGCATAAATGAGGCAACTCCTTCAAGCTATTTAAATTTTCACATCCCCAGAAGTTCTGGGCGAGGAGGAGGAGTAGCAACAATCTTCCAGTCTGACTTACTGATTACTCCCAAAACAGTTAATACCTACAACTCTTTTGAACATTTAACCCTTAATTTCCCTGATCCAAATTTCAAGGCAAGAAAACCTCTTCTTTTTGTAACTTTGTATCGTCCACCAGGTCCTTACTCTGAATTTTTAGATGAGTTTTCAGAGTTCCTTTCTGATTTGGTATTAAATACTGACAGGGTCATCATAGTGGGAGATTTTAACATCCATGCTGACATTGAAGGCGATAGCTTAAGAGCAGCCTTTAATGCTATCTTAGACACTATTGGCTTTGTTCAAAATGTGAATAGTCCCACGCATTCTCATCTTCATACTTTGGATCTTGTGCTGACATACGGCATAGAATGTGAAGAAATAACAGTATTTCCTCACAACCCTGTCCTCTCTGACCACTTTCTAATAACCTTCAGGATTACTTTAACAGAGTTCTCCTCCCCCAAAAGAAGGTTCAATTTTAGTAGATCTTTATCAGATAGTGCAGTTATAAATTTTAAAGAATCTGCTTCACTTTCTCTCTCCTCTGTGTCACTGAGCAGTGCTGCAGAGTGCAAAAGTTTAGCTTATTCGCCTTCACAGGTTGATGATTTTGTTGATGGGGTTGCTAGTTCTCTGCGTATTGCCTTAGACAACGCAGCTCCTTTGAAAATGAAAACCGTTAAAAATAGAAAGCTTGCTCCTTGGTTTAATGCAGAGCTGCGTACTTTGAAGCAAAATGCTAGGAAACTGGAGAGAAAATATCGCTCCACAGGCCTGCGAGAGTCCTTCCTAGTCTGGAAAAATGGTTTACTGCTGTATAAGAGGACCCTTTGTAAAGCAAGAGCAGCATACTTCTCCTCATTAATAGAGGAGAATAAGAATAATCCTAGATTTCTTTTTAATACAGTTGCCAAACTCACCCAGAGCCATAGCTCTGTTGAACCGTCCATTCCACCTGCTCTTAGCAGCAATGACTTTATGGGATTCTTTATAAATAAGATTGATCTTATTAAAAATAAGATCATAAGCACTCCTCTATCCGCGATTGTACCTGAGGTAGTCATGGAATCTGAACTGGGTTTAGACTGCTTTGATCCAGTTGAACTCTCTGAATTAGCAAAATTATTGTCTTCATCTAAGCCTTCAACTTGTATGTTAGATCCAGTTCCAACCAGGTTATTTAAGGAGGTATTCCCTTTGATCTCCTCCTCCATTTTAGATGTGATTAATCTATCTCTGTTACAGGGATATGTACCTAAAGCTTTTAAGGTTGCTGTAATTAAACCTCTGCTTAAGAAACCGTCTCTTGACCCAGATGACTTGGTCAATTATAGACCTATATCCAATCTTCCTTTCTTATCCAAAATTCTTGAGAAAGTAGTTGCCAAACAAGTTTGCGATCACTTCCACCATAATGAACTTTTTGAAGAGTTTCAGTCTGGCTTTAGAGCTCATCATAGCACTGAAACAGCTCTGGTGAAAGTCACTAATGATATTCTCATGGCCTCAGATAATGGACTTGTATCTGTGCTCGTCCTGTTGGATCTTAGTGCTGAATTTGATACAGTTGACCATAATATTCTTTTAGAAAGACTTGAATATTTTGTTGGAATTAAAGGAACAGCACTAGACTGGTTTAAATCTTATCTATCTGATCGAATTCAGTTTGTTCATGTTAATGATAGATCTTCAACACGCTCAAAGGTTACCTGTGGAGTACCACAGGGATCAGTGCTAGGACCAATTCTCTTTACTTTATACATGCTCCCAATTGGTAGAATTATTAGACAGCATGGGATTAATTTCCACTGTTATGCTGATGATACCCAGCTATATCTGTCTATAAATCCAGATGAAGCTAACCCATTACATAGATTACAGGCATGTCTTGAAGACATAAAAACCTGGATGACTCTTAATTTTCTGCTTCTGAATGCAGACAAAACAGAAGTTATAGTCTTTGGACCAGAGTCTCTGAAAAAGAAACTGATTAGCCAGTCACTTCATTTGGATGGGATTAAACTGATTTCAGATAATAAAGTAAAAAATCTTGGTGTTGTTTTTGATCAGGACCTGTCATTTAAATCCCACATCAAAGAGGTTTCTAGAATTTCCTTCTTTCATCTGAGGAACATTGCAAAAATTAGAAATATCCTGTCCAGGGGTGATGCTGAGAAACTAGTCCATGCATTTGTTACTTCAAGGCTGGACTATTGTAATTCTTTACTATCAGGAAGTCCACAAACTGTAGTTAAAAGCCTTCAGCTGATCCAAAATGCTGCAGCCAGAGTTCTAATGAAAATTAAAAAGAGAGATCATATCTCGCCTATCCTGGCTTCTCTTCATTGGCTTCCTGTTAAATCAAGAATAGAATTTAAAATCCTCCTTCTCACATATAAAGCCTTAAATGGCCAAGCTCCATCTTATATCAGAGATCTGATTGTTCCTTATGTTCCTAACAGAGCACTTCGCTCTCAATCTGCAGGTTTACTAGTGGTTCCTAGAATTTCTAAAAGTAGAATGGGAGGCAGATCTTTTAGTTATCAGGCTCCTCTCCTGTGGAACCAACTACCAGTTTTAGTCCGTGAGGCAGACACCCTGTCTACTTTTAAGTCTAGGCTTAAAACTTTCATTTTTGATAAAGCTTATAGTTAGGGTGGCTCAGGTTATCCTGAGCTATCTCTATAGTTATGCTGCTATAGGCTTAGACTTTTGGAGGACATAGGGACCCCCATTTCATCATTCTGCTTCATTCTCTCTCTGTTCTCCTATTCTGCAGAATCTGTTAGTTCAATCTCTAACCTTCTGCTCTCTCTGCTTTTCCTCAGAGTAGCTTTGCCTCGTCTGTTCCTGTTTGGCTGTGACGTCATCCTGGAAAAAATATCAGCTGTGCTGCTTCTATCAACACCCTTGTTAATAGATGTTGGAGATCGGCCTGTTTTCCAGTGTGGTCCTGTTTCTCTGACCGTGACTGAGTGGATGTGCTCTCTTCGTCCTCTGGCATGGGAGCTGCCTCGGAGCTCGTCTGCCTGGCTGTGTGTTTCCTGGACGGGGCCGCCTTTTACAGCTGCTTTTTGTATCTCTGCTTCTGTCTCCTTGAACCCCAGTCGGCCTCGGCAGATGGCCGCTCACACTGAGCCTGGTTCTGCTGGAGGTTTCTTCCTGTTAAAAGGGAGTTTTTCCTCTCCACTGTCGCTACAAGCATGCTTAGTTTGGGGGATTGTATTTGAGTCAATGAGTCAATGCAATCAACTGGTTTTCCTTAGATAGAAAACTTTGTATCAATTTGATCTGGTTGAACTGTAAAGTGCCTTGAGATGACATGTGTTGTGAATTTGGCGCTATATAAATAAACTGAATTGAATTGAATTGAATTGAATATTCACCATCCCTGTATGGAACCTTGGCTTTCTATCAACTGTTTATAATCAGTGCAATACTCCTTTATTCTAACATATGATGCAAAAATGAATCTAATTTTGAAGTCATCAAACATAAACAGGCAGCATCTGACCGATCGATGTCAACAGCGGTGTGGAGCTGCTGCAGCAGGAGGCTGTGCAGCTGCCTCTGGCCCTCCGTCTCCTGCTCCTCCAGCAGGGGGCCCTCCTCACAGGCTCTCCGGCTCACTCTGGATCAGAGGAAACAGAAAAACAAGGTTCTGATGACTGGAAGAGGGTAAAAGCACGGTCCCTATGCAGCGGTGTCACAATACTCTGTTATATCAGACGTTTAAAAACAAAAATTGCCCAACAACCACAGATTTTACATAACAAAAAACAAAAAGGTCTGAAAACCTTTTAGAGGAGAGTTTGTTTTTGTTATAAATGTCTAATATATTATATATAGGAAGGGATCAAAGGTGAGTAGCGTAAATTATGGGTGAAGCTTAAATTGTTGAAACTAACATTTCAAATATTTAAGAAAACGCTCTAAGTTTGTATGAAATGGTTCAAAACTACAGAAAAAGGTAAAAAAAAAACACCCTTTAAATTAAACGTTTGCCTTTTTCCACTCAAAGACCAGAATAACTGCATGTTTAGCTTCATCATGACTATATAATTCATTTATAGTTGGCTATGAGTTACATTTGTATAGATTTCTACAGGGTTTATACAGGAATAGGTAACTAATTTAATGATCTTAGAAATTATTTTAATGCCATCCCATCAACAAGTACCTATGACTCTTATATATATGTGTATATATATATATATATATATATGGATTATATCTAGGGATGCAGGATATTGGGATTTTGGCCGATATCCGATATGCCGATATTTTAAAACTCATGTAGCCGATAACCGATATCGATACCGATGTTAAAGCTGGACAAAAATAAGTAGTCATTGAAAATAGCAGTTTTGTTATCCATTTCTGACACTTTGAAAAATAATATACTCAAATATATTTTCATATGCTGATATCAAATTGATTTTTAAAAACGCGGTATCGATCTATTTTACTTTCAAAATCTGGTGAAATTTCATCGTTCTGTTACAAACTCTCGTGATATTTTGCAAATTCTTGTGAGATTTTGTTAGTAAAATAGATCGATACCGCGTCAATATATCAACATATAAAAATATGGCAACATTTGGTGAATTTTCGGGGGATTTCGTAGCATAACGATGACATATAGCAATATTTCATTAGTAAAAGAGATTGATATGGTGTTTTTAAATGGCAATATATCAGCATATGAAGATATTGGGATATTTTAATGTATCAATATTTTTTCCCTCGTCTTTAGAAGTTTTTAAGTCTGTAAAAAACAAGTTTTTGAGGAAGAAGAAGAAGTGGTATTTATTTATTTTTTTTTTTTTTTAGACTTTAGAAACTCAGAAGCTGATCAAATATCGGGTTAAATATCGGTGGGGTGGCCGATGTCCGATATTAAGTTTTAAGGCCGATACCGATAGGGGGCCGATTATATCGTCCCTAATTATATCCATATTTACACTACGACAGAAATGTCAGCAAATCTGAAGGAGCTTAAGTAGCTCTATAAAGAAGCAAAATAACCAGGAGTCGGATCAGTTTACATTGGGTGCTGTTGACGAAAAGATGTGAAAGAAATTGATCGGACACTATGCAACTTTATTTGGAAAAACAAAACTCATTACATAAAAAAAAAAATCTGGTTTAATGAATAGTTATAATACAGGAGGTCTTAACTCTGTCAACTTTACGACAATTAATACACTCAAAGTGAGCTGGATTAAAAACCCTCCCTCAATCTGGAATTTCATTCCTCACCACACGTTTCTCTAAGATTTCTCTTAAGTTTGTGTTGCGATCAGTTGTAACATTGATCGTATTCCTGTCGCTTTCTCTAATTTTCATAAACAAGCCCTTTTGTTCTGGTCACTGGTTTTAAAACATAATTTTTCTGTCTGTTTTTGCCATTTTTAGATTCCTATAAGCCCAAAACAGTTTGTTTTTGACGCTATTCAGCCAGATGTTATAAAGTTCTTTAAAGTTCAGACTCCTCTGTTCTCCGAAGGCCAAAGACCTCTATCTGATCCAACTGATACTTATGTAGTTAGGCTATGATTTCAACCCAAATCTCCTAAAACAAACATATTTGCACTTTATTCCAAATAAGCTGCAGCTCAGTTCCTGATGTCATTTCATTCTGGTCTCAGAGGGATGCTGGAACAAAACCTGGTTTCTACCTGATAAATATTTACCAGTAAACCAGGTTAAAGAGGTTTATTTTAAGATCTTGTTACCCAGTAAAGTAATTTCTGATTAAATATAAAAAGGAGATTAATACCACTTTCACTTTCTGCAACATATACTGAGTCTCTCACCTGTTCTGCTCCTGTGAGTCCACCAGGTGTCTATGGCAAGCTATTTGTCACTTCATTCTGGACAATATTTATGACAGATTTTAACTTTATTTTAAAGATGTTTTATTTGGGATCCCAAAATATAAAAGAGAACTTTCTGACCGTTTCTTCTAATATAATATTTTGCAGCTGTATGCCAAGTTTTATACCCAAAAATGTATATTTATTATGATTAAACCCTCATGAATCTCTTTTTTAAAGGAAGAGACTACTTATTTTCTACATTGTCATGCTCTAATAACAAAAAGGCTGCTAAAACTTTGTCTTTATGCTGTAAAGTCAAACTATGTAATCCCTTAACATGCTTCTATGTAGCTTTAATTAATCACTATTTTTGCTTTTATTCAGTTATTTTTTTTTTTATTTTTGTTCATCTGCTGGCGATTGTTCGCTGGAAATTTTACTTATTTCTTTTTGTATATTAAATATATTGTGTATATATATATATATATAAACAAAAAAAACAAAAAACAAAAAAAACAGTTTAGATTAGCTCCCTGACATTAGGACACACGTTAGAGGGAAAAACTGTATTTCTATTTGTTTTCCGACTTTTAAGTCACATATAAAACCTCCAGAAAGTCTGCGCTAATATCAGACACAGCAAGGTCTGATAAAACTTCACCTATATTCAATTAAAAAGGTTAAAAACGAAGAAACACTAAACTGCTAACCGCTATCTCCATGACAACTAGAGCAGCAAGACCAAACTGAGCAAAGCTTCGGCTATATTTCTATATATAGATATAAATCTTTTAATTTGAAATAAACAGCAAACAAAGCGTTTCCCATTAAGGCTTTAAAAACTCATAATAAAAGAAATCTTGTATTTTTCTGACATAGAGAGCTTTGTTTACCTCCGCATTCTTCCCGTTTAGAATTTCCGTATCCGGTAACAAGGGATGATGGGAAATGTAGTTCAATTTAGTTTAATTATTAGGACACACGTTAGAGGGGAAAAACTAGTATTACTATTAGGTTCCTGACTTTTACGTCACATATATAACCTCCGCAGACACAGCAGTGTCTGGTAAAACTACATCTATGTTCAAATAAAAAGTTTAAAAACGAAGGAACAACTAACTGCTATCTCCATGACAACTAGAGGACCAAGACCAGTTTGCGCAAAGGTAAGGCTTTGAAAATATATATATATATATTTCTGCTGAAATAGAAAGCTTTGTTTACATTCACATGCTTCCTGTTTATGATTTCCGATCACATACATTGCTGTCAATGGAGAGGTTCTACTCCTTGTTTTGAATTTATTCTTAATTTAAATTGTATTACATCTCATAGAAACATTTAAAATCTTTTTCTGCCAAAAAAGTAACTGCCAGTATTTTTACTCTTCTTTTGTTTTAAATCTTGCTCTATATTTATCCATTGGCCTTATTGTTTATGTATCTGTTCTTTGTGCACTATCGGTTTGTTATATAAATAAAGTTTAACAGAAAGTTTATGATTTCTGAATCCGATAACAAGGATGATGGGAAAAGTGGCTCAATTTAGTTCAAGCAAAGGTTTATTTGAGTGTAAAAAAACAAAAGACCTTGGTAACTATTTTACCAAAGGAAATGTAACAGTACAGTAAGTAACATGACCATTTGCCTTAAATTATACAAAAAAACAACTTTTAAAAACTCTTTTCTTGTTTAAACAGTTTCACACAGAGAAAAAAGTTAACTTTCCTATTTTTTTTCCTCTGCGTCGGAAAAAAGAACATAGAAAACAATGACTTGGTTTAGATTTTTTTAGCTAATTTAAAATGAACACAGGATAATATAGACTGAGCTGAACAGCAATCCTGCATTAGCAGCTGAACACTTTTTAGAGCTTTGCATTTTTACAGCATTAAATGAGCAAACAGCAATAAAAAATGTAAGCAGAAATTGAAAATTAATAAACAGGTACATTTAAAATCTGATAACGAGGGAAATGGATCAGGAAAGCGTCTCAGATCTGATCCATCATCTTCAATGTTTTGTTTTATAAACAAACTGGACTCCAACGGTGGAGATTCTCTATTTTCATTCCCTTCTGTTTAGTTGTGGCTCTTATATCGTCTCATCGTCAACAAACACAGCAGCATCAAGCCAGTTTAGAGAAAGTAAGGACATTATAGATATGCACCTTCAAATGTGGAGAGTAAAAGTAAAAAGTCCTTAGAAAATAAAGCCTTAAATAAAGTACAGAAACCAAAACAACCTTCCTAACTAGAGCTGATATAAACTCTCTTGACATCTGGTTTATGAAAAAAAGTTGGTGCAGATTAAGAGGATAAGATATAAAACAGATTTGACTTTTCTGATTAAATACACAGAGATGTCTTATTAGATTATTTTTTTTGTCTCTGTTGGTAAAAATAATGTGAAGCTCTCTTTGAAAATCAAAATTCGTCCAAACAAGCCTGCGTTTGTTCTTTCCTGTTGTGGAAAAGTTTTTACAAGGAAATAAAGATGGAAAAAATCCTTAGAGGTGCCGCACCTATCTGTAGAGGGTGTGCCAATAAGCTGTTTCATTAGACGTGCTGCTATCGAGGACCAAAAGGAACAAACCAGTCATTTATTTTAGACATTCTTTCTAAACACTGTTGCATGAACTGTACATAATTCATTAAGCAATTAAACAAGAAAAAAAAATTTGTTTGAATTATTAATCATGTAAAAATCATATGTAGCTATCCAGTTTTTATTGATATGAAAAAGAAAAATCTCAACAGCTGCTCATTGCAGCATTGATTTTGATCTTATGTCAAAGTCAGTAGATCAGATTATTTAAACTAGGGCTTAATCCAAGAAATGTATAAACTGGATTTTCTTTTAATGAAGGTTTTTTATTTTAGGGAAATCTGTTTTTTTTTTCCCACCAGTGAACCTCTTGGGCTTCCGTAGCTCAGGGTGACATCAGTCCATTGCTTTTAGTTTTTGGACGTTTACCAATAGCTAATTAACTTGCCGACCGCATAACACCACCAGCTACAAACATTTAGCTGGTTATTATTTCATGGTTTGTTGTGAATAATTTAATCTTTAAAGGAAAAGTCTGCTCACATTCAGAATTCAAACTTCTGAAATTACTTTAAATATGAAATTATTACATATTTTGTGTTTTTAAGAGAGAAAAAAGTCAGAATTTTGAAAAAATAACTAAGAATTCTGACTTTTTCTCCATATTAAACTGAAATAATATTTAAAAATCAGTTAACTTTATTATTTTTATCAGTTACCCTAATCCTCTTCCGTATATTTGGGTTGAAAGCATGTCTTATTTTATCAATATATATTTATTTTTTCCATTCTATTACCATTATATCTGTTAAAGGTGAGGCTTGCAAAGGCTTATGGGATACATCCCCACCCTCCGCACCCATCAGCGGCCTCAATTAACTCCCTGCATGACGTCAGCAAGGTGACATGGCGCTGCACGCTATTAAAGGGGATGCATGAGCTGCAGATTGCAGGCATCATCCTGTCCTCTTTGCATTAGAGGGAGATTTTCCAGCCCCCCCCCCCCCGGTGCACAGTGGGCTCCGCTCCTCTGCAGGCTGCAGCTCTGCTGACTGACAGAGAGATGAGGGGTGGGGACGCAGGGTGGGGTCACAGGCAGGGAGAGGCGGAGGAGGAAAAGGCAGAGAGAGAGAGCCCAGCCCTTCAACACAAGCAGCCACCTCACAGAGAGGGAGGGAGAGACGCACAAAGCTCCGCCGGCCTCAGTTCTTCTTGGGGGGGTGGGGGATGAAGCCGTCGACGCTGCTGCGGATATAAACAGAAAATTCACAGTAAAGGTGGAAAAAGCAGCACCGCCCCAATAAGTCTCCCCTCTGACAGCTCCATAGTGCTCCACCCAAAGCCCCGACCGACCCCCACCTGCTTCTGCTGCTCCACCCCTCCGCCGCTGCACCGCTCCGGCAACCGAGATGCACACGGAGAACCGTAACAAGAAAGTAAGTGCACCTTATTGCCTGTCAGAGGATGGTGTGTCTGCAGCAGCAGCAGCAGAGCCTAAGCTGTGTCTCATTGCTGACATGTCAGTGAATGCATCCTTTCTGCAGCTGCTTTCATTCTGCAATCAGCGGAAGAGTTTTTCTGACTGCGACCTGATCGCATTCTGTCACTTCCAGGCTGCAGGACTGGAGCTCCTGCATCTTTCTGTCAGATTGTTGTTCAGGTTTAATGCTCTGAGGTGTCAGTGAGGCAGGAAGGAAACGGAAAGCAGCTTCTGCAGCTTGCAGGACACCATCTTAGCTTTTAAAGGGCCAGCAGCCTCGTTTCCACTCAGGTGCACTGCCTCCATAACAGCTCCTCACAAAACTATATTCATTCAACTGAGATAAAAAAAAAAATAAATAAATCGGGTTTTAGTTGATGATCTATATCATGAAATAATTCAAATGATTGTGAAACATGCTTGTTTTGATCATCCTGCTTTGCTGTGTACCTATGGGGGGGCAGTTGCCTAGGGCCCCAAGTTCCTGGGGGCCCCATGAAATTCTGTTTACATGTATGGTTAATACAACTATTCCTTATTTATGCACATTAATTATGTTTTTGATAAAACATTTCTGATGGCTAAAATGCCATCAGAAATCTTCAGTGTCCACCATATTGGATCAGTCCATTTGCTGCACATGTTCAGAAAGGTCCAAACAGACAGCAGCAAACCATTTGAAAACAAACCATGCAAAGAGCAGTGTTGCTAACTTAGCGCTTTAGTCGCTATATTTAGCCACTTTTCAGACCCCTCTAGCACTTTGATTTCTAGAAAGCTCCTAGCGCCAAATCTAGAGACTTTTTTCTGCTACTGGAGACTTTGGAGACAACATCTAAAAGCAGCGAACTCTGCTCTCCAGAGCGAGTAGATTGGTAACCCCGCCTCCTGCTCTCCTCTATCTTGTCTGCTGTCATGATTCATGCAGCTATTATTTCATCCAAATGAAAAATGGAGAACAGATAAGCAGATCATGGCTTGTCTACAGTGAAAAGAAGGACTGGGTTATTTACTTTGGCCTTTTTGGAAACACAGGAAGGAGCAATCAGCTAAGTGAGCTTAGTGCTTGGAAAAAATCTTTCATTCCTTTAGAGACAGCATGAAAAGTCAGCTGAGTACAAAACATAGAGAGGAAAACAAGAAGAAAAGGGACAAGAAGAGAGGGACACAACCTAGAACAGATAATGGATGTCTATTCTATTAACATTTCTATATGTGGAGAATGGGGCTGTTTAATGTGCCTGTCTTTGCTTAGGGCCCCAGATTTCCTAAATTCGCCCCTGAGCTTCAGTCCAATTGGACGTTTGTTATTGGTTGAAATCAGCCTTTCAGTCTTACTACATCTCGCTCTCTGTATTTTGGTGGACTTTGACTGGGCCATTATAAGTCCTGAATATGCTTTGATTTCAGAGTCAGGTTCTCTCCTGTCTGTCTTTGAGGTTATTTTCCGGCTAAAGGGCCTCCACCCTAAAGTCTAAAGACTTTTTCAGCATCTCGCAAGTTTTTTTTTTTTGCAGGCCTGCTCTGTTTGCCTCCTTTTGTTTAATCATTAACCCAGATCAGCTTCCCTGTCCTGGTTGTAGAAAAACATCCCACATCATGATGCTGCCACCTCAGTTTGTCACAATACAAATGTCTTTTTTAGGGAGAGGTTCTTCTGTTTGGCTCATAAAGTTCTTTTTTGGTGTCATCTGAACAGACGACCTTCTTATTTACATTTATAAAGTTTTTTTTATAGGCGTCTTGTGGCAAACAAACTTCCTTAAGATATTTATATATTCAAAATAAAAGCTTTATTTTTTGCCATCGTATTTTTAAGGCCTGATATGTTTAGGTAATGACACATTAATGTAACAGATTCCTCTACCTGAGCCATGACTCTCTGCAGCTCCTCCAGAGATAGCATTGACCTTTTAGCTACTTCTATGCTGCCCTACCCACAGCATGGCTAATTAGCTTTAGCGTTCTGCCTCATTATTTCCACCTTAAGGTGACGGATCGCTGTGTGAGAATTTCAAACTAGAACTGCAACTAACGATTATTTTGCAAATCGATTAATATGTCGATTATTTTTTCGCTTAATTGCAATATAATAATAATAATAATAATAATTTCTGCACAAAGTGTGTTCCTCTGTCAGCTAAAGGCATATTTTAGAGTCTCTATACTCCAGTTAAAAATTAATCGATTACTGAATTAGTTGACCATTATTTCATTTATCAAAAAAATTATGATTAATTCAGTTATTTCTGCTCTATTTAAAACCTTTGCATATTGTTTTATAAACTTCCCCACACCATGACCTCTGACCTGTCGGCTGTGTTCCTTAACCTTCATATCGCCGTTTCTTCACCAATGTTCTCTAACAAACCTCAGTTTAATTTCTTTTGAAAAGCCTAATTTATAGCGACATCAAACCACATAGTTAGAATAATAAAAGCAAATAGCAGCAATAATGTCGGGTTCTCATAGCAAATTAGGCTGAAACTAGTTCTTGCAACACTTAAAAAAATAAATAAATAAATAAATAGCCACGTATCATTTCCTTCAAGTTCAGTTTGGTTGTTTTTATGAGATCAAGGTTAAAACTTAGATCCTTTATAGAATAAATTTTTTGCATACATTCAGAAATATTTTAATTAAGTTATAATCTCATGTGTTATTTAAAGATAATCAAGATCCTACACTGATAACAGGAACAGTTGCTATGTTACTTTGTCTTAAATGAAAAGTCTGGTCATATTCAGAATTCATCCATTTTCCATCATGCTTATCCCTGCTAGGGCCACTAGGGGTGCTGGTGTCTCTCCAGCTGTCTACAGGTGAGAGGCGGGTCCACCCTGGACAGGTCTCCAGTCCATTGCAACACAGAGACACAACCATTCACACACACACCTAAGGAGGATTTAGAGAAACCATTTAACCTAACAGTGTTTCTGGACTGTGGGAGGAAGCTGGAGTACCCGGAGAAAACTAACTCCATACAGAAAGAGCCCGGGAGCCCAGGAATCGAGCTCAGCACATTCTTGCTACAAGGCAGCAGTGCTACCCACTGCGCCACCTAGCAACACATTTAGAATTCAAATTCCTGTAAGTTCTTTAAATCTAAAATGATTCCATCCTGTTCAATAAATGATCAGTGTTTTTAATTCAGAGTAATTTTCCTGTGAATGTGCTTTACTGGAGGCATCCATGTTTGTCAAAGAACACTACTGCCACCTACTGGTTAGTGACGTCACGGTGCGGTATCGGCTGTTGATCAAGTCCCAGTGCTGTATCTGGTGTTTGTCACAACGCGCTATTATCCAAGTCATCTTGAAAACATTCTTCTTCCAAATGTTGGCTACATATTACGGGTTTTTTCTCTGGCCAGAAGTTCGATGGCAAATCCTCCCTCTTCAAGTTGGCGATCCAACGACCAACCCGTCCGTGGAGGATCAGGAATCAGAAAGGTGGAATAACTCTTTTTTTCACTTTTCCCCGATGTATTCCAGCATCCAGCTGCCATGCACGTGGGCATCGTCAGTTTCACTATAGCTCTGGTGAATTTCAATGGTGAAGCCCTCTGGAAATCTTCAATAATTGTTGTTGATTGCAGATGTGTCTAGTAGTTCCCATTGATTTAGCTTGGAAAGCGGGGAGAATGGCGCTAGGCTTACCGCACCGTGACGTCACTGCTGGAAGATGGCAGGAGGGAGGGGCTACTATATTTGGGCAAAAATGGTCGCTCCCAGACTCAGTGATCATGACGTAAATATAAATTTTTTTTTTTACTGATTAACGCTAAATTCATTAAATATCTGTGAACGTGTTAATTTTAGGTATAAATAATGATCCGTTGATTATTTCTTGCTGACTGACGTTAATCTTTCTCAGAGGATTTCATCGTTTTTTAGTCTCATCCAAATAAAGTTTCTATATTTCTAGTGTTATTAATATTGAGGGTTCTGATGTTTGCTGGACTGGAGGCTGTAAATAAGCGCAGAGGGACTGAGGCAGCAGGGGGAAGTCTAGTTTTACAAACATTTCTCAGAGACGGCCCTGAGATATTAGCAGCAGCATTTCTCTCTGTTGCTTTAAGATGTAAGAAGCTCTGTCACTGTGATTGAAATAGCAACTAGAGGAGGAATTTAAGTTTGTTTTTTTAACTATAACTGGTGTTAAAGGGTATTATTATCCTCAGCATTAGATTAAATGTAGATTAGCACAGAAGTATAGGTGCTTGAGTGTCTTTTTATTTGTTTTATTTTGAAGTTGAAACCAGTAGATCTGGATTTCTGTCTGTGATTGAAGGGAATAACATTTTAACATTTAAAACTGCAGCAATGAAAAGTGATCAATCATCTCAGCCACTTGTTTTTAACTCAATCTGTCAAGTTTTGAAAAAGCGCAGCGTAACTGCAGCTGCTCTTCCACCCCCCCCCCCTCCAAATCACTATGACTCTATCACTTTTTGTTGCTTTGTGACACAGTCCTTCATCTACCATTGTCACATTGTTTATTTTTTATTTTTCTTAACAAACCACAAAAACAAATAAGGTCCCACATCCTGCTCTGCAGACGGTTTCCTCTCATTTGGAGCTGCAGAGGTACAGCTGTGACGCTGAGGCTGTTATGAACTGTAGCTGCACTCAGACACCTGTCGCCGGCAGCAAGCAGACGCCTGTTTACATAGCTGTGGGTTAGAATATGTAACTGAAAGTAAAACACCTTTTCATTCCACGTCTTTATCAGGACGTTTAATAAATTGATCAAGTTTTCCCAGATTTTAAATGAATTACTTTAAACAAACATGCAGAAGCATACCTCAGTCAGGGGGGGATTTACTATTAGGCAATACTAGGCGACTGCCTAGGGCCCCAAGTTCCTGGGGGCCCCATAAAACTCTGTTTACATGTCTGGTTAATACAACTATTCCTTATTTGTGCACATTAATTGTGTTTTTCCCTAAAATGC